TAAAATCCTTTATCAAATGCTCTCGTAGCTTATTTATCTAGTGATAATGATAAAATTAAAAACTTCTGATGTTAAAGTAGATGGAAGATGTGAAATTGACAAAGAATGTTGTTGTTGTTGTTGTTAGAATAATAATGATAATGATCTGATAGAAAGTGGTGGCAATCACACTGAGGTCAACAAATGACACTAAGCGCATTTTCAAACAACCAATTAACACGACTAATTAATCAGTTGCATAGTTTAAAGTTTGTTTAGTAAAGATAACAACTGTTTTATCGTTTCTTACATTTTGAAAATTAGATGAAATAGATAGAAAATGCTCATTTCAATGATTCTCAAAATCATTAATGATTTGCCATTCATTCTATTTTCTAATAGTATTCTGTCAAACATTAATGAAATTTAATTTACTAATTTTTAAACACTCTCAAATATCATTTTTTAATTTAATTATTTCTAGTAGTAACAAAAGTACTAACAACTAATATGAACTAAATTTTTCAAACAGATAATGAAAAATACAAAATATTTACAAGTTCTAGCTAAACAAAAGTTTAAATTTTCTGTTGTATCTCGTTAATTTGTACTATTACATAATTGAATTAATCTCCTTGTTCAGTTTAGCGGAGTAATCACTCTTCAGTTTATTTTCATACTTTTAGTCATCTGGTTACTTAGAAGTCAAAAAAAAACTGATTGTTGATTTTCAATTTTATATTTGCAATAATTGTTTCTTTCTACCTCAATTTTTTCCTTCAAATTTCTAGAAACTTTCATTTTTTTATTGTCTAATATTAATTGATATAATAGTACAAGCAATTACTTATAGAATAATCGGTTGCAGATAATCAAAAATTGCAAATTGTTCTTAAACATTCCGATTGCTTTATTTGCAGATTAATTCAGAAGATGCAGTCTACTTGTGCAAACTATAGCACTTGCCATGATACTGAAGAATAAGTTACAAGTTAAAAATTCTAGCAGCCAATTTTGCTCGATGTTTTCACATGATATAATTACATATAACAATTTTATTGTTCACTTAAAATATCTTTCAAATAAATTGTGTTACACTTAAAAGAATATTTGAAATTAAAATTACTTTTAATGTAATGCAAGTTAGTGCAAGAATTATCATTTTATGTTGATTAATATCATTTGTTTCTTTTTTCTTTCTTCTTCAAATAAAACTATTCACTCATTCAAATTTTAAATTACTTTACAAACAATTATTAATTAATGAATCAATCAATCAATCAATCAATTAATGATATTTACTGCTTGTTTAAGCTTATTTAAATTTTGTTAATTATTTTAGCAGTAAAAATAATTGTGACAAATAAATTTGCAAACAAAACGAACGGTACTTCAATTGTTGTACCGATCATCTCAGTAATGAATAAATAAGCCAATGAGATTCGTTTGCTAAGAAAATATAAGCAAGTCATTTGCTTTCTGCAAGCAATTAAGAACAGTTGCCATTAGCAGTGATGCACTCCATCAATCAACAAGCTTAATCACCAATAGTTCGGTTTACTTTAAATGCCACAAAAGTAAATGCATAGCATCAGTAAATACTACTGCTGCGACTACTTCACTATGTGATGTGTCAATTTAGCAAGACAAAAGATTTCTGCGATAAATCTAAATCAAAAGCTATTCTAATTGCAAATAACCAACATTACTACATTCGCTAAAACATCTCTAATTGACGGCATTTTCCCGCCATGCTATTTGCAGTAAGCACTATCAGACCTGTTTACTTCATATTTAATCATTGTCTAACTTTTTTTTCTCCAAACAACACTCTTTACAATTTGCAGTATCATTTATATCTTTGAAATTTCAGATTTACCGGTACCATTTGTCACGTTAATCAACTTCAGTTTACTTTTGTCAATAACTTTGCGCCTTACAATCATGCTTTGAGAACTGAGAACTTCTTATATTACGCTTCATTAAAATTAAACATACAAAAATGAAAGTGTACACAATACAACCCAGGAAAAAATGCTTTGCACAACATAAAAACAATAACAATAGTAAACAATGAAAGTAGAGCAAATACAACCACTGGACAAATGACCATGAGCAAAGAAAGACAAAATGCAGTATTGATATAGGAGGTAAATGATTAAAGTTGATCGCACATCACATTTTATTTGATCAGTTTTCTCTTACTTCATCTTCGCTATAATCACAAAAAAAAAAATATTACTCCAGTATTTCAAAACCACATTTAATCAAATAAATTTGACATTCAATAATTCCAAATAGATCGATTAAACTGGTAAAGGCGCTTAACAGAATGTATCACACTCAACTTCAGGTTTCACAATACAAAATTTATTTCAAAAAAGATTCAATATAAACTAGGAACGAATGAATGGAATGTAACGCATTAACGTTGTCTTGCGATTATGATTACCATCACTTGTTTCTGTAGCTTGTAAGACACCCAACTGCGCTTGCGTTAGCAGACATAATGCTGATGCAACTGCTAAACCCGAAGTTCCATGCGGGGTGAATTGGCGACCTCCAGTTGGCAATCGGACTGCTAAGGTAAATATACCAGAACGATAATTACTACATGGTTCCACTGATATGGGAGTAGCCATCTGTAAATTAAGTCATTAAGAATCCTATATTAAACTAGTTAATGTATGTAACTAATTAAAAAATAAACACACAGTGAAGATGAAAAAGAAAAGGTTTCAGCATAATGGATAAACATGCAAAGCAGCAAAATCGCGACATATGACTTTAATTACCATTATACTACAAAAAAACTTTTGTAACCAAGCGAATACTGAAGAATGCAAGGCTTGGATTAATTACTTACCAAATTGGCACGAGGAGAAGTAAGTTCAAGCCTCACAGAAGCAAAAGGACGAGAAGCCATTTGTTCAATCTCATCGTAACGTCTCTGATTTCTTCTGAATACTTCTATTCGTAATTTAATCATCCATAATAGACCCGCAACAACAAGAAGTACAATAAAGCACCTATAAAGACTCATTTATTTATGAAATAGCGAACTCTAATTTCAAAAAATACTTGGAAAAAGAGTTGAAACCAAAAATTGAAAATGTTATTGAAAAGAAATCTCTAGAGTTTTCCAACATAACGGTTCCTAAAGATGTATCGCATAAAAACATCAGCAACATCTAGTAATACGAAATCTGAATACTGATAACGTACCTAAAACAACAACAACTTATTTCTGACTTACTTTTAAAAGAAAAAAAACTAAACTAGAGTAACTTACGCAGCGAAAATCACAAAGAATAAGACCCAATTTATCGGAGGTGACTGAGAAAATGAAATTTGTATCTTTACAGGAGTGGAAAAATTGTAAACTTTCACCTGTAACAACCTTACAAATTAAAATGTTATTCTAAATAATTTGAAGAATAAAAACAATGAATGAATGAATAATAGTTTGATTTTTCAATAGTACGACAGTGATTGCAAAAATACAATCCTATCATGCTGTCATTTAATGAAAAATTTTTATGTTCAGATATTTACAAACCAAAAACGTTGTATTTGCATCGGTTCCAAAAATAAACCCAGGTTCAGAATTGGCACTGTATGTGCGCCGAATACCATTTTCATCACATATAGTTCTTGTCATCAACAATTTACTTGCACCAGGATGTGATTCAAAAAGTGAAGAGTTGATACTCATGGAAACTAAGGCTTTTTCTAACTTCGGTGACTCACAAACGACAGTAAACTGCACATCTGTGTCACGCTAAAAGAAGAATTTTTAGTACCAAACATATATTTAAATACAAAGTGTACTAATTTGACTCTTAGTTAATTAATG